GCAAGAAACACCTGATCTGGGTTGTACTAATACTGAAAGTTTTTATTTTATTTATTTATTTATTTACTTATTATGTATACAATATTCTATCTGCAGACCAGAAGAGGGCACCAGACCTCATTACAGATGGTTGTGAGCCACCGTGTGGTTGCTGGGAATTGAACTCAGGACCTTTGGGAGAGTAGGCAATGCTCTTAACCACTGAGTCATCTCTCCAGCCCCAAAAGTTTTTATTTTTAGTGACATTTAAAACCTTACAATTTATCCTTGATTGTGTGTGTGCATGTGTGTGTGCATATGTGTATGTATGCTTTCTGAGCATGAGAATATGTCTGTTGCATGAATTGTCTTTTAAGATTCTTATGTAATTGTTAGTATTGTAATCCTTTTACTGATGAGAAAAAAGGGGATTTAAATAATAAAATTATTCAATAGTTTAAATAATTATATAATTATATAATAATTAAAAAATTCATCTCAGTTCAAGTAGCTAAGAGACCCAAAGTCAGCCTATCCCAGCACAAGTGTGATCAACTACAGCATGTCCATTTCCGTCATCCTTTTAAGTCATGTTTGCAAATACGTTGGGTTTGTGTTTTCTAACAGACAGGAAGGAAACATCATTACAGTGATTTACAGTTATATATTTACAATTGTGCTAGGGGTAGGACGATGGCTCAGAGGTAAAGGCGCTTGCTGCTGTGCCTGACAAATCAAGTTCTTTCTCCATGACCCACATGACAGAAAGAGAGAACACACTTCAGCAAGTTTTCCTCTTACCTCCACATGGGTGTTATGGGATACTCCTACATTCGTGAGTATGCGCACACATACACACACACACGCACACACACAAATAAAAAGTAAATGTAATATAAAAATAAATTGTGACCAGGTGGTGGTGGCGCATGCCTTTAATCCAATCACTTGGGAGGCAGAGGCAGGTTGATCTCTGTGAGTTTGAGGACAGCTTGGACTACAGAGTAAGTTTCAGGATTGGCTTCATAGCTACTGAAAAACCCTGTTTAAATAAATCAAAACAAACAAACAAATGAAAGAATAAATAAATAAATAGTGCTAGAGTACTTTCACAACGAAAGTGGTTACTTTAGCCATTTTTCAAGTTTACAGTTTTACTAAGGACTTTCACAGTATTATTGTTGAACAATCATCACCAGTGCCCATTACCAGAACTCTTTCCTTTACATCTGGTATTACGTATGTTCTACTTTGTTTTGCTTTGAATCCACCTATTCAGATAAGTATCCGTTTCTGAAGTCACCATGCACTTCAAACATAGGACCGTGCCATAAAGCCTCTTCCTGAGAATTAGTTTTTGTGGTGCCATAAGTTTCCATGAAAGTTTCCAAAGGAGGGCAAACAGTTCTACCACAGCAATGACCAGCATGGCATGATGCTGAGAGCACAGCGCACAACCTCAGCTAGGCACAGCTCCCTAACTGGACTGAATACCACTCAGTAAGAGGGGAACCTGCCTGGTCCCAAAACGCCAACTAACTACCCAGATCCTGCAGAAGATACTACAACCCTCATTTTAATAAAACCCTAACTACATTCTAAACATGTCTTTTTTTCTCACAAATAAATGTGTTCTTCACTCCTCATCAAGGAAACTTATCTTTGCAACAGATGGAGACTACTAGGGAGCAACCACTACCAACCAAAATGCAGAGCTGTGGAGCCCAGAACAACTAATAATTTACAATTCAACTCCTACACTTAAGGCTCAGGGATCCTTGCAGAAGGGAGAGTAGAAAGATAATAGGAGCCAGAGGATCAGGGAGTTTGTTGTGAGATTGTGATTCCTAGGAATGTCAGAGTCACACGCATAAGGTCGTAGCGACATAACTACCTAAACATGAGCTGAGCCAGGGCTGCAGAGAGCAGGAGAAATTGTCGTCCTCAGGAAAGAGCATATATACTGATTACCTGATGCCAAATGGTCAGTCCTAAAAACATACACATAAAGGTAACAGACTGACCAGGTTGTATTTATATGTTTATGAATACACACACACACACACACACAATTAATTAAAAACAGAAACTTTGAAAGGGAGCAAGGGTTTAGAGATAGGTGAAGGAAGGGAAAAATGATATGATTTCAAAAATAAAAAGACTATTTTTTTAAAATCTAGGCACTCAACAATCCTTGAGGTATTTAGTTGAATCTTTCTCTACTGAATCTAGTCTGGTTCTTTTCATCTTTTCAAATCTTTTTTGATATCTTTAGGACAAGTTTGATAAGCCCTTTTTCTTTTATTTTGGTGGTTAAAGCCAACAGCTTAGAAAAGTAATGGGTATGGGTATGCAGATTTGATGAAATTAGAGGGCCTGGGCCTGTCAGCCTACGGGAGATACTGTAGAGAGTCTGGACACTGATTCTTGTTTCATTCAAGCTTCATCAGTAAAGGTGAATAATATTTTATTTTGTGATATTTAGTATATGATAAATTATAGATTTATGGGGAAAGAATTTAAAAAGATTAATAACAAAAAAGAGTAATTGCAACTCTCCAGTCACCATCCTTGAAAATAGTCTTGGTTTAAAGGCATAAGGACTTTCATAGCTTGCTTAGGCATTGCACACTATATACATGTGTGCATGTGCTCCTGCATGATGAGATTTCTGCATGTACGTGTGAGTATACATAGGTGTACATCAGGTGGGACTTCTCTGGAGTGACGGAACTAAACACAGAAAATGAGGCCAAGCTAATACCCTAAGTATACGGCATTGTAGAGAGGGTAGGCTCAGAGTTCTTGAGAAGAAAGGAGGCTGTTAGTGAATGAAGTTGGGCCACAAAGTATTGCACATATGTAGAGTACATCCACACTACTTTTGAATACCTGCAGACCTCACTGCCCCATTTAAAATGCACAGATCTTCTGCTATAGGATATGACTGGAAAGGGATATGAACACAAAGGTAAATCCTACTACAGTATTGCCACTTGAAGAAAATAGGTCACCAGTAGAGCCATGCACTATATAAAATTATCAAATAGCATAAACACACATTTTGCCAATTGTAGTGTGTGTGTTTAAATTGTTTTGGAATTCTCCAGACATTCAATGTACAGGTTGTTTGACTGAATGGCATCATTAATCCTATAAAAGGGTTGACTTTGGGGCATGAAGCATGCACACTTTAAAGCTTTCAAGAGCAAGGGACTTGGGAGTGACTAATTTGTACCAAAGCCCTGAACAGTCCTTTTCTTGGATGGACACACTCTCTATTAAACAAGCCAACATTATGTGCTAAGAACTGAGGTCCACACTTTCTCCAATTAATAACTTTCCTACCAAAGACAGATGTGGGTGGGAAACTCCCAACATCTGTGGTCTTGTCTAGAGTATACGAGGTTACCTGAACTATTCAAATTTTTTTCCATTTACAACCTTAGGCCTCTGTCAGAAAGTGCACCTTCCATTCTCAACCCTTCCTACAGGCTTCCCTAATATCTGAGGCAAGTCCTTACCAGTGTTATACCCTAAAGTTCTACAGAATTATCACTTAATAGAAGACAAGGGGAGGTTTTTTTTTTCCAGTTTTTAAGTCAGCATGACAGAGCACTGAGAGAAAATCATGTGGTTTTCTATTTGTGGAAAATGACTCTTTCAGGTTCAGAATCATCAGTTCTCTTTTATTAACCCATTGGTCCATAAGACAGCCAGCCTACAAGTTGAAAAGCAAGCTGCCTGTTAGTTAGCCTTATAAAGACAAAACAAAATGCCTAAGATATACTTAAAAAGAAAAAAATGTTTGCTTTGCTCACAGTTGTAGAGATTTCCAGTGCAGAGTTAGTTGACCCCTCGTCCACAGCATTGGGCATATGACAAGGCAAGACGTCATAGAGGAGTTTCGAGAGACAGCTCTTTCCTTTGTGATAGATGAGAGGCAAAGAGTGCAAGAGGAACAGACTAAGGTCTCAGTGACCTCCCACCCGGCCCCACCTCTTAAAGTTTCTACCATCTCCCAATAGTATCACACTGGGAACAAACATTACACACCCACAGTCTAGATCCAAACTACCCTGGTATCTTAAACAGAGAGGAAAGGTGGAGGTTAAGAGCGGATATGGATACAGGGATACAGGTTAAATTGCTTCTAGATTACCAAGTAGACTGAAGACATCTGGGAGAACTGGAACTGGATGGTTATCACCAAGCTCCTACATAAAATTAGAGTAAAGCTTAAGAAGCAGTTAAAGCTGGGCAGTGGTGATGCATACCTTTTATCCTAGAACTCAGAAGGAAGAGGCAGGCAGATCTCTGTGAGTTCAAGACCAGCCAGTCTACAATAGCTAATTTCAGGACTGGCTCCAAAGTTACAGAGAAACCCTTTCTGGAAAAACCAAAAGAAAAAAGAAGAAAGAAAGGAGAAACAGTTAAAGTAGAAGGAAATTCACTTGAGTTTAAAAAAAAAGTTTTCAGTCCAAAATGGTGAGGTATTTGTATATTAAGAATAGAGTCCAAGGCAGGTTAAATTTGGCAATCCAGAATAACTCATAGCCAAACATTTCATGGTCAAGGCAGAAGACTAAATGAAGATCAAGGGATAAGAGGAACAGAATGTTACATGGTTGGCTCACTTCTCCCTGTCTGTAGTAGATACAATTTGGTGTTCTAAACCTCAGCTTGAATCCCAGGTATCAGTTTTTAAACAAATGGGCTTTATTTGCAATGAGCTTCTGTAGACTGAGGGAGGGACCCCTCCTTTCTTCTTGTAAGAATTAGCACAGTCAGTCCTGCAACTCTTGCAGGATGAATCCCACAGGAATGTCACAGAATCACTTAAGTGCTCAGAAAGCACCCAAAGCAGAGCTGGCAAACGTGCATGGCTCCAGGGACGTTCCTTCAGTTTTAGGCTAGTTGTGATGGCTGACTATCAAATCTGAATTGTCATGGTCCCTGTAAGTGGACATTTGTTCTTTCATTTCTGTCCCTGTAATGCATACAATTATAACAACCCAGAATATAATTCTGATTTTTATTAGAGAATATCTAAAATACATTATCCATTAAGTTATGATATACTCTGTATCACAACTATACCAATTTTATACCTTATTTGCATCTCTAAAATTCAAGTCACCAAGTTACAACATAATTCAAATTTAAGATAACATTGCTACAAATATATAAGCATATTAAAAGTTTTTATTTAATATAACATCTTGAAATAGTGAACATTTATATAATTTATAATCATAAAACTGTAGCTATTTTACCTGATTTGCTTAAATTATCTCAGTTTGTCTCATGATCTGGACTTGTAAGCAGCCATTCTACTTTCCTATGTTTTAAAAATAGCATTTTAGCAAACAAGCCTGAGTACTCATTATCCTATGGCTGTGAAGAAAGGCAAGAAGCCATTTCTGTCTTTTGCATTAGATTGCTATGACTGATGGGCGTGCCATAGTCAGCTACCAACCTGCCACCACACTACCACCATGGGAGACACCTGAGTCTTCTTCACATTTGATTAATAACCACAACAAGTGAGAGACACAAAGTGGAATCCAAATCACCAAGGTAGAATTGTGCTCAGCTACAGAGAGGCAGCTATTGTTTGGACGCCCGCTACAGGACTATTTTATTTAAAGGATGCTTTGATCTTTCTGTTCTTCAGTGGTTGAGCTGGGCGCCAGTTGTCCACCATCAGTTCTTCAGGTTCCCCCTCTGTGTTGAAGTTCAGTCTACGGAACTGAGACATCTTAAAAGACACAAACAAATTAAAAAATAGTGTCACAATATTACATACTTAAGTTTCATGTATTGTCTTTAAATGACACCTCCAAAGCTTGGCAGTGGCAGCATACACCTTTAATCCCAGCACGCAGAGGCAAGCAGCTCTCTGAGTTCAAGCTAGTAAACGCTACATAACGAGTTCCAGGACAGTCAGGGGCTATACAGAGAATCTCTCTCTCTCTCTCTCTCTCTCTCTCTCTCTCTCTCTCACACACACACACACACACACACACACACAGAAAATATAAATGCAGCTTTCGATATTCACACTATCATGAATTTCGAAAGTTATACATTACATGTGTATAGATGAGAAAAGTATCTTTTCATGAGAAATCTATTTATTATACAAAGCCACTGGGGTCTTTCTCCAATAAAATTTTTTTGTCAGCTTGCTTTTCTTGTTTTCCTTTTAAACCAAACATCAAAATTCTGTAAATTAATACCTCTGACATGTGAAGTAATGATAACAGTTTTAGATCTATATTAAAGTTTTGTTTTCTGTCTCAGAGAAGGCAAAGCACAGCAAGTGCTCAAGTGTGTAAAGGGCCAGCCTACCATCTCCCGGAAAGACTGGCATCCCTGCTTAGATATGTAGACACTTGGGCCACTTTGACCCTGGAAACTGGCTCAGTTTTAGTCTCCTTTGAGCCTTTTGTGGTTTCCTGGCTCAAGGCAGCCACAGGCAGACTCAAATGTGCAAAGTTCTGCTTATAACATTCACCAGAGCATTGTGTGTGTGTGTCTGTGTGTGTGTTTGTGGGTATACATATACACTTGTATGTGCATGCGTGGGAAGGTCAGAGATCAGCCTTGCCTGTTGTGTTTTAGTAGGTGCTGGCCACCTGTTTTTTTTTTTCTTTTCTTTTCTTTTCTTCTTCTTTTTAGAAAACAGCTGTCAGGGTCAGGAGCTTGCCTCCTAGGGGAGGCTGGCTAGCCTTTAGGCCCCAAGAATACATCAGTCCTTATTTCCCTAACATTGGGATTGCAAATTAACACCAACATGCTGAGTTTCTACATGTGTTCTCTGGAGTTTGAACTCAGGTCTTCATATAAGTACTTCAGAGCCTGAATAAGCATCTCCTCAATTCTATAGTGTTTGTATCAAGTTGGAATGAATAGCACACTATGGCCCCTTTCCATCGCTCATGTCGCATTCAAATATTGGTAAATTTGACTCATCATTTTAGAATCAAAGACAAGGCAACGTATAGAAAATTTCATAGGAACACTTTCTCTTGCTAGAATATAGAACAAGCAGTACAATGCTAGTCAGAGATGTGAAGGATTTGCTGGGCATCTTTGATCTTTAGAACAGAGCAGGGAAACAGTGGAGGCTGCCTCAGAGGATGTGAGGCTCAAGAGGTTTTTCAACCACCTAGGTTGTACAGAGCCGAGAAGCACAGCAAAGCGCAGGAGGTCTTGGAGGAAGGGCTAGAGCTGTGCTCTGAACTGCTCACGACAAGACCTCCAGATCCTGTGTTCCATGATATGCAAATATGCCCTTACTATGGAATCTCACCAAAACACACGATTCATATTTGTACATCAATACCATTTTCTACAGCAAAGGGAAAATTCATTGACTGTACTTACCTGTATTTGGCACTAAAATGTGTGTAGACAATAAATATACCTGCCAAAGCAGCTATTAATACCAGATTCTGAGCTAGCATAAGTTGTTCTTTGTGGAGGAAAAAGGGGAACGTTGATGTTTTTCTACACCGTATCTCAAGCACCACATCTACAACCAGAAGTGGCATTTTAACCTTTCCCTCGTGCTACTTCAGGATGTTTGCTCAACTGTTAAAACTCTCAGTTTAATTTTCAAGCCATATTCCAGCCAAGCATGCCACTGGGTGGCCCAATTTGAAATTACCCCATGCGAGTTTCTAGTTGTATATTCAAAGGTTGGGTGTGAACTATTCTTAAAATTAATACATTAATATTCTAAAAGAGAGTCCCCAAAAGAAAGTATGTTCCCAGTCATAGCTGAAGCTGCGCAAGGACCTTGGTGGAATGCACTTTTGTTTCCTGTGCTTACAGTTTTTAATCAGCAGATTCCAGATGGTGACATAAGAAAGTCTTGCAATGTGATCTCTCTTGCTTACTGCAAGTCTGAACCCTCATGACTTCAAAATTTTTCAAGTTTAAGTTACACAGTTATTCAAATAATTGCTACTTCAAAACTGACTGCAGTTGTCTTTTATATTACCAGAAAGGATCTGACCTTTTGTGATTCCTGAGAAAAGTCTGTTTTCCGCATCTCAGAATAGGCTGAGGAAGTCAGAAGAAACACCCCTTTGTGTTTGCTTGTATGGGTGACTTAAGGGCTGCATCGAGCACTCAAACATCACAAATTGCTCAGGGAATGTAAGAATGTCTGGCGTGAGCCTCTGAAGCAAGCTGGGGTAGGGTGTTTTGAGAGGTATTTTTTCTTCAAGCAATTAGACTCTACGTTGGTCAAGCTTGAGAAGTGCATCTCACGTGCACAGGATTGCACTAAGCTCAGTCATCACTGAGCAGGAAGCTAGGAATTATCACTGATATCTATGGAACCCTCAATATGAAATCTCACTTTTCAAAGCCTCTGTTTCCTCCTAGCTGTCAAAAAGCAATACATTTATAAGCTGACATCTTTCTCATGTAAATCTTACAGTAACCAACAATCTCAGATTAAATAAATTGCTTAAGAACTGCCTGCGGTGCTGGCAATGACAGCAAATCTTTACTAACTGCCAAACACTTCTGTGACATTAGCCACAGGCTGAGAAGTCACAGGAGGCGTATACCCCAGGTCTAACTGGGAAAGCCAGCTTTTCTACCTCAGCTAAATGAGAACTCTCCCTAGAAAACCAACCTGCTCACTGCTGACGGTAATGGGTTCCTTGAGCACGATCCAGGTTACACATTCCAGCAGAGGCGGAGTGGTCAGAGAGCCAGGGTATGTCCAGTAGTCAAAGTTTCCAGGAAGAAGCGAGCGAGGATCAAAGTTAGTGAAGGCAGCACTCTTCCCCTGCAGGGCAAAAGCACAGAAGAAAGTCAACAGCAGATCCACAGCAGGAGACTATCAGCCACAGGTCTCATCAGTTCTCACTGGAAGTCTTTGTACAGAGGGCCAGGTTTAGTGACAAACAGAATGAGGAGAACTAACAGAAGGCATTTCACTTGAAAACACAGATTGCCTCTGAGATCATGACAAATTAACTGTGCTTCATCTTATCATCAAAACAATTAAGTTTTCCATTGCCCTTAACTGATCATATATGGCATTTATTTAAAACTATATTGTTACCATTAAAATGGTAAACATACTTAGGTTGCAATATTAACAGAAATAAATAATCTTTGGTAATAAAAAGATGGTTTTGCTATAATATTTCAGAGCTATATTAAATCAAAATGTTCAGATCTTGATGCAGCACTTTTAAACCAGTAACTGGGCGGCAATGCAAAATTTCACACTACTATTTTCTCTTTATAATTGTTGTTGAGATGAAGTGATATAAGAAAAGAAGAAATGAAGAGAACCAAGGACAATTAGCAGTTAAGAAAGAAAATAGGACTATGAAAAAGGCAGATCAGTCTTATCACATATGATTCAAGGGAGGGGGTGCAAGATAGATGCAAACACTGTACATTTCATAAGCTGGGTGCTGTTTGAAGATGGGCTTTGTGCAACTAGGCTGCCATAGGGATGGCCAATGACTGCAAGTGAATGTTGAACATAAGCAGATGCCCAAAAACCTCAACATACCAATGCTGCATAGAGGGTTTATACACAGAATGTGTGAACTCAGACCATGGAATATGAATCTCCATAGAACAAGCTTGTCCACCCCAAATATCTATGGATCTTCTAGATTAACATAGAGACCATAACATAGCATGCTTCCCATAAGCACTGTTTGAATCACTGAATGTTTTGTTCAGATGATCTTTCTGGCCCTTTGATGTCCGCTGAGTCTTGAACATGTATGGTGCTAATAGAAAGTCAACACATGACAAGCTATTTAGCAAAATTAGAATCCATTTTTACAGAAGGAAAAATAATATTAAATATAAGTAATTATTTGCCTTCACTAAACTGTTCTTCCAACCACCATCAATAAAACTACTCATTCTAATCAAAAGAATATTTTAAAATCTAGAGTATTGAAAAGAGTTACCTTTGTTTTAATGGCACTCAGGGCATCAAGAACTTTCTGAAGGCCTTGTGTAGCAGGTCCAATCTATGGAAAAGCAGGAGTTACAAGACCTTATAAGTCAGTTGGTACTCACCAGTTTTGATTTGGGCAACAAAATCATAAAATTTCTGAAGAAGCACAAGGAGAAGGAGGAGGGAGAGGAGGAGGAGGAGAAGGAGGGAGAGGAGGAGGAGGAGAATAGGAAGAGGAAGAGGAAGAAGAGGAAGAGGAAGAAGAGGAAGAGGAAGAAGAAGAAGAAGAAGAAGAAGAAGAAGAAGAAGAAGAAGAAGA